AAAAACATAAAAACAACAAAAACAAAACAACCAAAGAAATAGAGAAGAGAACATAAGTGCTAAAAACAGACGTGTAGTGAGCTCTATTAGTTTCCATGTACTTACCTAGCAGAGCATATGTGCTGTCCATGTTTTTCCCTCTGCAAGCGGCTTGTTTGTAATTGTGTTGCATGTCTGACTGCTTTCTTTTTATAGTGTCTCAGTATGAGAGTCTGCTTCTAGTCCTGCCCTCAAACATGTGACATCGTTATACGCGCTCACAGATAGAAGAGATGAGGAAAAATGGGTAACCCAGGTTACAAATGTTACCACGATGCAGCTATAAGAAAAGAACAACCTGAACAATGAATGACATCAAATACAACGTTTGATTACAACAGCTGATTGAGCTGAAAATTAATTGCAATTTTCCTCTGTAGGTCTCTGTGGACCTTGTTTACATCCACAACACTAATGGTTGCATTTAACACGTGATAATCTACGCTCATATACTCATAAAGTAAAAAAATCGTTTGTGGCAATGGTCCTAACATGATGTGGTGGTGTGACCATGAGTTTGGGAACTGTGGGGGAGACCCAAGCCAAACCCATGTGCTGTTACTGTGGCCGAGAGTGAAAGAGAAAGTTTCATATGCCCTGATGACTGGACAGAAAACCGCTGCAAGTGTTACGCAAGAAAAGAAGGAGAGTATTCATAGTAGGAATTATGACTGCTGGCCCCAGTCTTCTCTAACATTTGGAATAAAAATGGCTGCGTGGAAATGAACCCTCCAGAGAGGGTTTCAGAGTTTAGACTGTTAGACTGTGTTTTAGTGTTTCCACTGAGATCTCAGTGAAGTGGTTTAGAGGATGTGGGGGTAGGGAGGGGGGGATCTGGGTTTAGCTCTATGAAGATCAGTCATTTTATTGGTTCTATATTCAAAACATTGTTCATTCTTTTCCAATGAAGATGATGAAGATTCAGTGTGATAAGATAAGATAACCTTTATTAGTCCCACGCGTGGGAAATTTGGTTTGTTACAGCAGTGGACAGTGCAAAGTTGCACAGAAAAATTAGAAGAAGAAAAAAAACACTGGAATAATATATCCATAAGATATTGTACACAATAGAATAGAATAAAATTAAATGCTATATACAATCGAATAAAATAGAATACAAATGCTATATACAATATGAGTACAATACAACGATGCCAGAAAGAGTACTGCAATAGATGGGTAGACCGAGAACCAATCACAGTTAGTTTTAAAAGGATTCTGGACGTGTGACCGTGGTTAGTGATGGAATGTGAAAGACAGTAGTTCCCTGAATTTCATCTGGTTGTCACAATCAACGGAAGCAGGACCCAAACACAGACACGTGAAAATGAAACTTCTAACGAGCCGTTTATTATGGCTGATTAAGCAGTACAAAAAGAAAAAGGCCAAGTCAAAACAAAAGTGGACAAAACCTAAACTGGGAAATTAGAAAGATGAAAAAACCCTAAACATGGAAACCTGACAAAAAATATCTGAATATCTGAAAGTGTGAAATCCTGGAAACATGGCAGGAACATAACAAACGACCTGACCGAGAATGAATGACAGCAGAACATAAAGGGAA